AACAATTTGGACAAATTCTTCTTATCATTAATCTTAGTCTTCTTCTTCTTCTTCTTCTTCTTCTTCTTCTTCTTCTTCTTCTTCTTCTTCTTCTTCTTCTTCTTCTTCTTCTTCTTCTTCTTCGTGGTTCTTGTTCTTCCTCCTCTGGTTTTGCGTCACAGCCAACGTGGTTTCTGTTCACGTATCTTTTCTTTTTGGTTCTGGACAGCTCTATAATCCGTATAATAATCCGTACTTATTTCCAAAGGCAACTTCTTGCAACTTTTAGCATCTAAATAGCCGACATGAATGCAACTTATCGCCAACTCCTGCATCACGTGATCAGCTGTGTGTGTGCGTGTGTGTGTGTGCGCGTGTGTGTGCGTTTCAGGTTCTTAACTTAGCAGCGTGATATTGTTCCTGTGTGGATTTAATACCTTCGGGCCCTTCAGACAAAACATGCACACACACACACACACACACACACACACACACACACACACACACACACAGCGCTCAGCGGGGGCCTCTTTTAATGAGGGCACCCTCCCGGTTTAGGCACAGGAGCAGAGGTGAGGGGTTACATTTTGGGGAAGTCCAAAAACAGGAGCAATTTCAGAGGAAGAGGAAGAGGGAGAGAAAGGACTTGGATGGATGGGGGAGAGAGGAAGCCAGGGGGGGAGGAAGAGTGACGGGTGGGACGTCCACCCAACCGTTTAACCAGAGACGGAATTGAATCGGGTCAAAACAGAGTACGAAAACTGCCCCAAGAAGTCAATTCCCCCGCGGTGGGGGAGGTGCTATTCACCCTCTCCCTCCCTCTCCCTCCCTCCCTCTCCCTCCCTCTCCCCCATGTGCTGATACTGGAAAAAACACTCTGAGGACACACTGTTATTCAGACCGGCCGCTTTGCATGTTGTATCGCCGCCACGAGGAAAAGGATGTGGCTTTGCGTGTGTGTGCGTGTGCGTGTGTGTGTGTGTGGGGGTGGGACCTGGGGGTGGTTAAGCCACGCCCCTTGAGCGAACAACATGGCGGACCATGTCGGATTCCTGAGTGAACGTCTCTCCGCCATGTTGGATGTTTTGAGGGGGTTAGGGTTAGTATTCTATTCTTACAAGTTAACATTGATTTCCCGTTAAAAACGCAATCATAACACGTTTATTTTACATGGTCAGACTTCACGAAGTGTGTTTACGGGGCGCAGGTCCCCGTTCACTGTCCGGTCCGTATTTATTTCGTATGTATCACTACGAAATTTGTATGTTGAAGATTTTCGTTTACATTTTTACGAACAGGTTCTGCAGATCAGGCTGGTTAAACATGTGACATTTGATGAGTTAGTAACGCTGATGTCTTTGTTTACACGTCACTCCTGTGGGTTGTTTGAATTAGGTGCCAATAATGATTTGGCTCCTCCGAGGTCCATGTCTTAGGCGCCGTCCCATACGGGGGAAAGCCGTACTCTCATGCGAAGGGGCCAGAAGCAGAACATGTTTGACATTGGATGGTTTTGTTGCTGCATTGAGGTCCCCCCCCCCCCCCCAGCACCACCTCCATGTGTCCCTCTGCTAACGAGCAGCACCCACCAGAGAGGCCCGGTTTGCAGTGTGTCTTTGTGCCCCTGCTGCCTCAGCTGTCAATCAAAAGACTAGCCCGTCCTCCAACGGACCTTCACCTTTGATTGCATTAAAGCGACTACTCGTTCTTTCTTTTCACATGAAGGACTCAAAAGAAAATCCTCAAGGACAAAAACATCTCAAGAGCCATTTTTCTTTATCGTTGGCCACAAAGCATCACTTCAGATGCTGCTACGCGAGCAGCAGGTGGAAACAGAGAAGACGGATGATACCTGCCCCACTGATTCATACCACATCCCACACACACACACACACACACACACACACACACACACGCGGGAATGTGAGGAATGTGGCTGGGCATTAGCCGATTAGGACACCGGAGGTCACGTCGCCACAGCCAGGGTCAAGAGCTGGAGGTCCAGGGGTGAAGGGTCAAATGGTTTTGTCTGGAGCTTGGGTGTGTATTGGCGGCAGACCATTCACACACACACACACACACACACACACACAGGGACAATGTCGAGCAGCCCTTAAGATGTCCTGTCTCCAGAGATGGCGATTTGTTGAGCTGAGAGCTGAATTCGTTCCCATTCTTTCTACATTATTGTTTTCTTATCTTTGCTTGTGCATAAAGCCTAATTTAATTGAACTGATCTGTGTGCACAACCCTCACGTGTGCGTGTTCCACAAAGCAAGTCGGTACACCGACCAGCAGCAGGGAGTATTAAGTATGACTCACCTGTTTAGGGGAATTTATGCACTGTGTGTGTGTGTGTATCACAAAATGTCTGTTTTTTTTTTTTTTTTTGCTGATTTCCAACCCACGGCTTAGTTAAAGTGGCCGAAAATTAAATCCCAGCGTACTCACACACACACACACACATACACACACACACACACACATGCCTACATCCATCACACAGTCCTTAAAAGCAAATGGAAGGAGGCGGAGGGGGAGGAACAGGAAACCTTGTGGGAAGCGGAGCTCACCAGCGCCCCCTGAAGGTGGGATGGAGCCCCCCCTCAGTCCGGCCCGTCATCAGCCGACGCTCAATGGGGGGTTTTGTGTCACGGAGACACAAGCGGAGCTAGCTGGTGACATTCGGTGCTCCTACGTGCGAGGTATCGTCAATTATTGCAGATGATCCGTCTGCCTTTGGAGTCGTTGCCCCCCTCACTCCCCCTCACTCCCCCTCACTCCCCCTACGCCTCCACCCCCATCGCCCGGGCTGCATTTAGGTGATTACTGCACGCACTTGTGCCACGAAGCGAAGGGACTCTGTGACAGCTCGGCTTAACTCTGCTCTTTTTTTCCTCCCCCCTCTCTCCTCCTCCTCCTCCTCACCCTTCCTCTCTCTCGGTCCCAGGGATCTCAGCGAGAACCAGATCCAGGGGGTTCCGAGGAAAGCCTTCAGGGGAGCCGTGGAGATCAAGAACCTGTAAGTGGCACTTACTTCGCCGCTACTTTTTTCCCGCACATGCGCACACATCTGCACACCTGTTTGCCGGATGTGTGCGCCGGCCCCATGAGGGGGCGCATCAATATTTCATTGCGTTAAATGTCACGGGCCTCCTGCTTGCTGTATTGACTGCCACCGCTGCTCGTTAGCAGCGCGCGCGCGCGTGTGTGTGTGTGTGTGTGTGTGTGTGTGTGTGTGTGTGTGTGTGTGTGCGCCAAGGTCACATCAATGGCGTTTCCGTTGTTTCTCTTTGTTGGTCCTCGTTATGCCGATTAAAGACAATTATTAGTAATTTTGCCTGTGGAGTAATTGCCTAGAAGTAATTCTAAAATTATGGATTCTTTTTTTACTATATGGCTGCAATTTTTTATTTTTTAAATGCCACGCAATTATTGTAAAAGGACAGGGCCGTGTGTGTGCGTGTGTGCGTGCGTGCGTGTGCATTGGCATGTGGCCGATGATTTACCGGCCTTACGTCCTAATTACATTTTTCCAGCAAAGCCATTAGCGAGAAAAAAAAAAGGAAAGACAGAAAAAGAAGAAAGAGAAAGAAGGGGAGGATGTAAAGAGCGACGTGCACAAACCAGGGAGCAGGAAAGGGGGAAGCACACAAAAGAGAGTGACTGAGTGAGTGTGAGGGAGACGACTCTCTTGTAACCCTTCTTGTCTTTTACCTGTGTGTGTGTGTGTGTGTGTGTGTGCAGCCAGTTGGACTACAATCACATCAGCTGCATCGAGGACGGGGCTTTCCGGGCGCTGCGTGACCTGGAAGTGCTGTGAGTACCCGTCTGTGCGGTCGGCAAAAGCGCCCTCGTTGACCTTCGGGCTGCTGGGAACGAAACCTGACGCCCGACCACGGAGCGACCACCTCGCCCTTTAACGGATTAAAGATCCCAGAGCCGGCGGGTGGTTCGTATTCGCCGCGAGGCAAAGACGGATTGGTTCCCAAGTCAAAATGACGGGTCGCATGCGGCACGTAAACGCGCTGAGCGGATCCACGGGAGTGTAGGACGAGTGTTTGACAGTGTTGCTGTTTTATTTAAGGATCTTTAATTCTAAGCGCTGTGTCTGCCTTCAGCGTCGATGCAGTTACCAATGAGGGAGTCATTCTTTTTTTGGTTGTATTTAACTAAAGGTCTCAGTGGGCCGACGTGCTCTTGACACCTTAACTGAAGCGCCGCTCAAAGTTTACACTGATTACATCCCGCCCGCCCCCCCCTTTTTACAGTCTCACATGTCGAGCCCGATGTGGAGCCCCCGAGTTCTCTCTTACTGCGACTGAGCTTCTTTCAATAAAAGAAAAGTATGCCGAAAAGACAATAAAACCTTCAGCTGAATATCTCAAACCTGAACATTG